GGGGGTGTAATATAAGAATTTCACCATCCCGACCTGATTACCAGTGGTTAAAATAAACAATGTACTCTTAAGGGAATCGAGCAATTGCAACATACATTGCATTGCGATCGGGACTGTGACGATCAACTAACCCGACCTGGATCTGCTTCTGATTCACTATAGTCTTAATAGCTATAGCAAACTTACTCTCCTTGTTTGTCTATCTCCAATAACAGACCCTCCTCTCAAAAACTGGGCAACCTGTTTGTCTATCTCCAATAATAAGGTGACAGGAGTGAGGCCTTCAGCCACAAGAACCACCCTTCTTTTTTTTATTTTTATTTAAAAAAAAAGGCTACATTCTTCTCTCAATTTCACCTTAAAGTTTGCCTATCGACCTACCACTACTCCTAAGCCTATACACTCTCCGTTTTTCTATGTATATGCTCCGAAAAAACTAGGGGGAAAAAAAAAGAAACAAAAGAGCCACAGCGCCAAACCATTGATGCAAATGTTCGCCATGCTCAGCAAAAAACTAGACAAAAAAAAAAAAAAAAAAAAAAAAAAAAAAAAAAAAAAAAAAAAAAAAAAAAAAAAAAAAAAAAAAAAAAAAAAAAAAAAAAAAAAACAAGAAACAAGAAACAAAAGAGCCACAGAACGAAACCATTGATGCAAAATCCCCCCCACCCCCCCACCCAAAAAAAAGAAAATAAAAAATAAATAAAAAATAAAAAACAATTGATGCAAATGTCGTCCACGAGGACTTGAACCCTCGATCAATTGATTTGACTATTGGTTTCCAATTCATTGGACAACAACTAAAGCCGGTGACCGTCGTCATCAGAATAGAAAGCCCGGCCATTACGGCCGTATTGTCCCCAAAATCAGTCTACCTACAGCGATAATGAACCCGCGTATTGGGGTGAAAATCACGATACCATGCACATTTTAAGTCAAAACATAAAGAGGGAGGGAAGAAAAAGAAAAACCCACAACCCAAAAAAAGGGACAAAAAACAAAAAAAACAAGTTATTGGTCCTCCTATAATTATTATGCTGTAAATGGCAGGCTCCTCGAGCTCACTACCTAAAACCGACATACCAAAAAAGGAAAGAACAAATCCAACCTAGAAGTTGAAAAACCAGAAAGAGGAAAGATAGGCCATTGATGCTACCATCCAACCCGAATAGAACGCCCGATCATTATAGCTGCATTCGGGGCAACATTCAGTCTAGATGCAGCGATAATGACCAGGCGTTCTATTCGCGGTTGAAGACCGTAGTGTTTTCATGTGCATGGTCACCTCCACGAGCCCACTGCCATGTACGTCCACATGCCATGCACGTACGTCGATGTCCTACTACTTTTTTTTATATGAAAAAGAAACGACCGGCTCAGAGATAAACAACTGAAGATTAAAAAATAAAAAAATAAAAAAACAGGGTCGATAAGAGAGAGAAGACAACAAAACTAAATGGTAAATTCATAACGGAGGGACGTGTATGAATTTCACCCACGATAAGGGAAACAGTGGAGGCGGGAATTTCCTTTCGTTTGCCTTTTCTTTTTTTTTTTTTTTTTTTTTTGGGGGGGGGGGTGTGGTTTGTTTGCCATTTTACCGGGGTGTGCGAACTTCAAAACTAATTTCACCTTCGTTTTTTCTTTTCTCT